ATCCAGTAGGATACTAAAAAGTAACAATATTTATCTCAAGTCTTTGATCTTCAAGGAACCGAGTAGATGTTCCTGATTTCGAATCTCGATTGTCTATGCCAAATGGCTTCTGTCTTTTATTGCTTTAGGTTATTCTTTAAAGAAATTATTAGGATCTGTGCCTTGCAACTAGGAACCAGTTTTCTCTAGAAATCCTGTTCTGAAGTTGTGAGTCATAAAATTATAATATGTAGGTACAAATCGTGTCAGAACTTTGGAAATGATAAAAGGGAATATACAGTATTTGTCCAGTATACTTAACCGGGTTGGAATAATCTTTTCCTACCAAGAGTTCATCAGAATAAAATTACGTGAAGTATACAAATATTATTAATGAATAATGTCTCAAATTGTCGTTTGAATTAAAAAATAATTAAAAAGAAATTACTATGTCTTAAACTATACTATATTTTGTGTTGAGTAAAGATTCAAGACAGGCGTCTGAGCAATAAGGTTAGGCCTTCTTACGCCTGTCAAACGGGAGCCTTGTAAATCCTTGAATGGAAAATATATTTAACAATTCGTAATAAATCAGTTTATTCATACTAAAACTTACAAAAGAATAAAATATAAAATAATGTCGCATAACATTTAGATGATTTTTTTCCTAAATATCAATAAATAGTATCAACATTTTACGTAATGTTGACAATTTTATTGTTTTTTAAAACAGCCACACATCAATCTATGGCAACGGACTTACCACACAAGCTGCCAACATCAGCATACCTAACTGAGAATAATAACAAAACAGAATTAACATATAAATGCTCCAAAAACTCCCTTCTGAATCGATTATTGCGTAGTTCTCGATAAAATTTATTCGATATAAATCATCGATATTCGTTTCGATCTACTCCGAATATGTCAAATTAATGTATCGGTATAATAAATGGGGCCAAGTTCTTTTTTATAGAAATACCAAATTAACTTTACAGTTGATCACGTCACTAGCGTCCTTGTAACATCATCGTTTTGTATATGTTTTTTATAGTTCAAATTTTGTCCACCCGCATTGATAACTTGGTTGGTGTTAACACAACAATTTTCTCAACGCGCAGTTCCAAAAGTTTATAGTTGTAATCTTGAATTTTTATAGTAGTGTTTCGTAGTTAATATCACAGATAAGCGATTAAAAAAGGGCCCCTAATGAAATGACCACAAGATGGCGAATACTGAATATGTATGAATAGTGATGTACCTATATATTGATGAGCGAAAGACATAACAATTCAAAGTGAATATTAATAAGTCGTTCAAAGTTTCTTAGTGAAATAGAAAAAAAATACTCCAAAAATAATTACATATTGTTTGGGAAATCTACTAGGCATAAAGAATTGTACGCTCTAGATTCTGCTCTTTCTAGACAAGTAAATTGATTATTGATTAACCACTAAAGCCAACAAGATTATCAGCATGTTGACACTAACTTGATCGTATAGTTCCTACAAATGTATACAAAGCTGCAGCGCCGCAATCCACAAAAAAAAAGATTTTCGACTACAATCTTTTCATAACTTGATGACGATGCCCATGATCTAAAAAATATTAATTTCTGTGAAACGAAGAAACTTAAAATCAAAGAATCATAGTTTTAGCTTTACAGTCCTACTAAGATTATAAACGCAAATTTCTGTGAATATTATATGGATAGAAGATAATATAAATAGAATTATATAGATAGAATGATGTATGGATGCGTGTAGAGATAGATGAATATATGGATGTATGTATGTATGTATGTTACTTTTTCACAAAAGAACTACTAAATGGAACTGAGATAATGATATTTACATAGGTTTTTGTCCTGATACTGCGTGTAGTACTGCGGGCAGACACCTTTTAAGGCAAACAAGTGAATATTCCCACGGCAACACATTTGTGTTAAACAATTTTAAACTCTATAAAACATAAATAATGATAAATTACACTAGTTCAAAGCTCGGCTGATTAATAAAACTAATTAGAGACAATAAAAATCTCGTAAACACGTCTTTTGTACATAAGGAGCGGATTTTATTATTAAAATTTATTAATAATATTTTTCATGTAGAAGGGATTGTCAACATTTTGCAATTTTGTTAAATAAATATTACCTTTTAAATTCGTCCTTCACTGAATATTTTTTCAAGATTTTAACGTTATATTATTATCTACATTTTAATATTCTGGTTAGGTCAATATTGTCTACTTCAGCAGCAGCAGCAAGATCAGGAGCTCGGAGCAGAAAGAGGAACGAGGATAGTCAGTAAGAGTCTGACATTCCCCGCCCCACCGTGGGCAAGAGAAGTCACTTGATGAAATTGGCTCCTCAAAAAAAGCTCTTCGTCAACGTTGATTTTAGGGAATCGAATCCCGCGACATCTTGCACAGCAGCCTGCTTTACTACACGACTCAGTCAAAATAATTGTTTTTTTAATATTGAAATGATAAATAGAAACGAATGTCTCCTGTTGGAGAGACTCCTTGCATTGATTAGACCACTTAACTAATTTGATGAATGATGAACAGAAAAATGACTTTATAATTTTCACTTTTGATTATTTTACAAGTTCAGGGAGACTTATCTAAAGGTTTTTCAAAGCGACGTATAAACGATAAAAGGTTGAAAATTCCTGTCCTAAGCAGCTTTACTTTTGAACGATTTTGTGAACAAAGTAACTCAGTCGATCAATCAAATGTTTTAAAACCAGGATGTTGGAACCGTAACAGCGACATTATCGGATTGATCTTAATTTTTATGTAAATACTTGATTAACGTTGTGATGATGATCGATTTCTTGATTTTGGTTATATTAACGTTTATTTAAAAATATATCTTAGTTTGTTATTTTTTTTTTTAATATATTTTTATGAATATTTTTGTAATTAATCAATTGAAATGAATTCTCTGTAAAATAAATATAGTTTTCGCTCTTGCTTCTTTTCTATTTTTGGATACGAGTCTCGGTATAAATTATTATTGTGATCATTTCTCAAAATACTCACAAGCTAAAGCTAAATAGGGAAATATACTACTGTGTTATTGCACACCAGAAGTTTCGGTAGCATACATTCGCTATTGTTATTTGTAAAAGTATCCTTAACTTATTGTCTCTAATCTTAAATGATTGCCACATTTTTATGGTTTTAGAGTATTGTCGATGTAGGAAAGACGTGATTCAGCACGAATGAGTAGGGTCAACCCGAATAATGTGATTCGGTCAAAGTGTTGTGTTTCGCCGAGTAAAGTTACCGGAGGCCAAATCCTTGTTTTCGTCACCCAATACTTCTTTCCCTTTCTCAATTGCTTCCCAATCCTTAAGTCACTGAAATCGTAATCCTCAAAAGCAACCCCGCTGGTGTTGCGAGCGTCTATAGGTGTCTGTCTGATGACATTGTATGGAGGATGTATTTTATCTCTTATAATAACTTAGATGTTTATCTAGCCCTGATTAAATTGAGTATAATTTTTGGTACAAGGATTTAATATTATTATCATAGTCATTATTGTAATTATGATCAAATGTAAGACTTCTACTATTGAGTATAAATAGTTCATATTTATAGGTTATACCCAATGAGCTCCAGACTACTGGTTAAACCCGACATCGTACGACTTTTATTACGATAGCTATATACCAAAAATATATATATAGAGAAAGGATGAAAATTAAATCAGAACAGTTAAAATATCATAATTTAAAGAAATAAAAGTTCAAGTTCTAGATCATTTACAAAAAAATAAAGCCATAGGGTAGCGGCGGAATAGAATACTTCTATAATACCAATTTCACACCAAACTCTTACTGGGGGGTGTGTTTTTTTAGAAGATATCTGATCTTCAATAGTAAGCAATCAGACTTTTGATCATGTAAGGATCAACTCCTATGATAGACAACTCTATATATCATAATTAACGCATTCATGTATTAAAAATACTATGGTTTAAATTTAGAATGTGGCTCTGTATATTTTTTGGCATGCCAGTGTTCTCCCATAAATATAATAAGTATTATAGTTAATGGTCCAAAAATGATTCTGTAATAAATATATTTTTAATGCAGCAATAGTACGTCGTAAAATGGCGTGGTGACCCGGAGGTTAAGCGGCCCGCTTCTCATGCATGAGTGTGTGGGTTCGAAACCTGGGAAGTACCAATGTGACTTTTTCCGAGTTATATGTACTTTCTATGACTATTTAGACGGTGAAGGTAAACATTGTGAGGAAACCTGGACTTATAATTTCTAATTATAAGTTTGAAATTGCCAACCCGCATTGAGCAAGCGTGGTGATTAATGCTCTCTAACCTTCTCCGTATGAGAAGAGGCCTTTGCTCAGCAGTGGGCGCTTATAGGCTGATGATGATGATGATGAATATTACAGGATGTACTGCCAAGCTTTTTTAAGTTAAATCGTGTTCTAATAAAAAAAAAATACAGTAAAATTTACGAGCTCAGAAATACGCAAATCATATCAGCCGTCATAAAACAATCATATTCTATGACTTTAAAATGCTAATATAAATGTCTAGTTTTTTGGCGTCTCAATTACAATACCTGCCAAAAAGGAATTCGCAAATGCTATTGTGCTTACAAATCTAATCATTTCTGAACGGTTATTAATTAATTTTCAATCACCACCTTCGTGAATCTACAGTAAAAATTACATAATAATTGATTCGAATGATATCCAGTATCCAGTCATTCATATCAATAACCAATAAAAATAAATTGAACATCAAAATTCTTCGCATAATAAATTAAATCATAATTAAATTTATTAGATTAATAACTTTTTGTACGCGTAACATCAAAATGAAATCGAAATAATACGAAATTCCCTTTCAAATACCAGAAAGACCTAATTACATGATCCTCCGCCTAGTTGTGAATCAGAAGTTCTATGCAACTTTTGCCCATGACCTTCGTTCAGGATATCAGATCGCCACCTATATATAGTGAGACGAGGATCAACACCAACATTCTTCTGCCAACCTCAGACCAGATAACATCATGAAGTTGGTAGGTGTATCAAAAGCTTTAGACGAATCTAAAAAACAAATTGTGACAATAGATTCCGTTTTTACAAATTGATCGTGATGTTTCGTTATAGTTTTTCGTGATTTGTGTAACTGTTTTGTTATGGGGTCCGATTGCAGTGTATTTTATAATTTTACTGTTTGTACGGTTATAACATTTTGGCAACGATTACCGTAATCGGTTAACAAGTGTTCGACATGGTGTTTTATAAAATTTTGATAATGTTGTAACAGTACCGTATAAATTGTGTGTGTAAAAGTATTACTTAATCAATTTTTATCATATTTTTCAATAATTTCCACATCATTAAGAAGTGTAATATTGATGTCGGTGAAAACCACAACATTTGCTGAAACTACGGTTAAATCTGAATTCGTTGCAAAAAGCCTATGACAAATTTGAAATTCGCAATTAATAATAGTTTGACTGTAACTAGACATTAATTATATAAAGGTAATAGATTTTGAATAGGTATTTTTTGTGAGGGGAACATCATCAAATATTTTTTCCACCCAGGGTGGGGCGGGATTGAGTTTCAGACTCTTACTGACTAAAAACCCCCTGTTCCTTCTCCTGCTCTAGGCTTAGACCGCGGTGCCTCAATGACGCGCAACCCCGGCCCGGAATAGCCTTACAAAAAAACATTCCTTTCAAAGTTCAATTCCGTTTACACAATTCCCTCTGATTCATATTTTCTTTCATATCATTATGTAGCTAAAATTAGGACAACTTGTAAATTGCTATTTTGAAAGACTCAGGAAATCAATCAAGGTCAAAATAGCTGTACATCTTTCTGTTCTTCAATATTTTTAAATCGTCTTCTATCGTTTCTTTTAATATCAGATCGTACTCGCCGCCCTGATCGGAGCCTGCGCTGCCGCAAGCCTGCCTGGCTATGTTGCCCCTCAATATCGCTACCCCTACAATTATAACTACTATGATACAAGGGCTAGAGCCGCTCTCGACAGGAGCGCCGCCATCTTGAGGTCTGATTCCGAAGTCAACGAAAAAGGATTCCGTTACGCTTTCGACACTGAAAATGGTGAGTTGTTTATCTTTATTTATTTTATTAATTGTGCTTCTGGATCCCACGATCCTACTTCTGGATCTCAAGTAAAGCTAAGTAATGATTATAAGATAAAAATGTAGAAAGGACGAGACTGTAATCTAATAAAACTGTAAAATCCATTGTTATAGTGCTAGGTAAAAACACACTAAACATAAAAAGAAATTTTGATTTTATAGATTCCAATTTATATTTGCATCTGGTACAATATACAACAAATTCTGATTACCCAACAAGTGTAAGCGCGATGATACGCATTCACATCATTAACTTAATCAAGTTGCGGGTGACGTGGGTGCGACTGCGCTTTACACAACTTTGCATAGAGGATCTAATTTGAAATCTTTAGTCTAGAAACTCTAGTAGGATGCAAGGTACAAATTGTAGGCGTGTGTAAAATTCATGCATAAACACGTACTTCTTTCTTAACAGAACTAAATTTTTATCGTAGCTCAGATGACTTCTCTAAAATTACGGAGTAGAAATGGTTTTCAGTTTTTACTTTTGGATTACACAAAATGTGTTCGAGTAAAACTTCAGATGCTTTGGACCTCTACAGAGAAATACTAGTTAATTCCCGTTCAAGTATTATGTCTAAAATAGAATAGATCCTTATCTGTCGTGGTCTGTAACAATAAATTATCTATTATAATATATTATATTAATCAGATATTACAGTATTAAAACAGTGAATGTTGAAGTAAAGACTGAAATTCCAACTATCGACACATTTAAGAAACCTTCGATGACCAAAAATAGCCTTACGCACCCATAACAGTATTTCTAATAAAGAAGAACAATTTAAGAAGAATGCTTTTAAATTACACCTACGATACGTCCTTCAAAAGTCAGACCAGATAAAGCAACGATGCATATTTAACCATCTTACACATAATTGCAAATTACACTCGAGTTCTAAGTAGGCAGATCTTATCAAACACATGTATTGCTATTTTACAGTTAGCTTGATTTAGGTAAACATGTGCTAAGTTTGCCAATAACTGGCTTGGTCTGGGTACAATTTCATTTCATTCGACATCAAATTTTATGTGATTTGTTTGTGTTCACGATCTATGAAAATTAATGTGTTTTTTCACAACATTTTTTCCAAGCAGTAAAAACGATTCTTGTTCTAATCATATTCACATGCTATTGAGTTCAATGCAATGAAATATCTCCTGCTAACCAAACTTCATTATCTTTTCAGGCATCCACGCAGACGAAACTGGAGTTGAAGCCAATGGAATCCAAGCAGCTGGAAGCTACTCCTACACTGGTGATGATGGCCAGGTTTATAGTGTGACTTACACTGCTGATGCCAACGGCTACCAGCCTCAGGGATCTCATCTCCCTACTCCACCTCCTATCCCTGCTGCCATCGCCAGGTCCCTTGAGGAGAACGCGAGGGATGAAGCTGCTGGAATCTTTGATGATGGTGAGTTTAAAATGTTCATGTTCATAGTATAGTTCGATAAATTAGATTTTTTATATGGTTAAGATAGAGACGTCCTCAATTTCAACGATTAATGACAGGATTCCGAATTAAGATTATGAATAAACACTTCGTCTCATTTGTAATTATGAACTGTTTGAGACTTTTTAACGTAATGTTTAAACTTGCTGTTTATTTAATGTTTATAAAAATATTGGTAATTAAATAATAGTCACAACTGACTCTACTAGAATAATTAGGAGAATTATTAAAAGTTTTAATCAGATACATAATTATAAAACTTTCATGTATGAGTAGTTTAAAATACGCAATTAAATTCTATTTTATCTGTTAATGATCAGTAAACGATTGCTTTTAAAGATAATCACGCCTATACACGCCTCTTCCTTTTATTTATTTGATATTGAATAATAAAGTTAATGAATTACCAATACATTTGAATTACGTAAATTCATTTCGAGATAAGCAATTCAGCAAAGCAAAAGAAACTAGGAAAATAACTGACAAAACCAATTTCGGTTAGCAATTCTCTTAAAAAAAAATAGAGCTACATTTTCAACCATCCAGGTACAGTTAAGAATTAGATAACTTGGCTTAGAAAATAGTTTCATTTTTTATCGAGTATTTAATATGAATGATCATCTCTCTATTCTAATTTACAGGTAGCTACCACGACACCAAATACACCCCAGGCGTTGTTCTAGCTCGCAAGCAGTACAGATACAACCCATTTTACCCATACCGTCGTTACTGATCGACTGAGAACGTCTAACCAGTAAGGAAGCAAACAGCAACAGAATTTGTACAGTGCCATTTGATATAGGTTAAGATTATATATATTTACAAAGAATAGAAAATTCACAGAAGATCAACATCCACGAAAATTTGACGAAGAAATGGTAAATCCGGAATGAAATTTCTGTATTTTTTTTTCGTCGAATGTTCCATTGAAGTTGGCCTTCTGTAATTAATTGTGTATATTGAAGCAATAAAGTTAATTAATATTTTTAATTGTTGTTTTATTTTATATTTCTATTACTTTTGCCATCTCGTTGAATCGTATTAGGAGCATCGTTATTACGTAACACTGCTCTTATTATCTTTTCACATAAATTATATAATATTCAGTTCAAATAATTTACATTCTGGTTTGTCCTTCTCTATCACTATCACGGGATTTCGTCTAGCATCTTTTGTCACACTCTATCTTTTTTGACCTTATTTGATCCCTTCAAACTTTGTCATATGATAATTTAAATCTCGAACCGAACAAAGACATTTTCACAAATATTTTAAAAAATTAAATGTAATAAATCTTCTTTTGGCTCAGTCGGATATAAATGCAATAAATATAAAAAAAAAAAAATATTAAATAATTGGTCCTCTACATCAGATAATTCGCCATAATATCCAAGCAAACTTGGCAAGCAGGAATATAGTAAAAAGGTGTCCATTGGTGGCGCCGATCACTTTCGATCGATCGCTCGTTTGCCTCCTATAACTTCTCCTGCTTCAGATGGAGCGAGAAGAAGAATCAGACAAGTACTAAAAACCATCCCATTGCTTCTAGTGCTTCGAGCCGAACCGTGGTATCTACAACATAACGCGTTCACCCTCAACCAATGCAAGTCCGCTGCGTTGAGTAACTATACATATGCCTCCGAAGAATAAAAATTGTGTCATCTAGCTGTACCATATTGAATACATGGGGCTCAATAATTTGAAGATTCTTGATCTTGCCTTTATTATTGCGATAAAGCAATTAAATCTAACGAACTTCTTTAATTCTTGTACAACATCAAACGTGTTAATAAAATTAATTTTATTACCGTTTTTATAATCTGAGCTAACCATTATTACATTAATATTTGTAGGTTATAACTCAATGTTTAAATTGCTCTTAAAATGGTACTTATATTTTTTTAAAGGTGGTTAGCCTTGGGTTTGTGTTGAAGGATGGTTTTGGAATTCAGTGCTACTTTTACAAGTGCTCATTTTGATGAGCAAAACAACTTATTTTCTTTCATAAAGACTTTAGATGCTGATGCTGATGATGATAATATGTGTTAATAGGGTCTTTAATACATAACATACACATGCATACATAACTATGTTCAATGATACCTATATTCATTTTTTATTGCATTCTAATCTTACTGAATTAGTTTTATATTATTTCATTTGGTATGAAAACACTGAATTTTAAGTAAGTTCATAGATCTTAGACCATGTTACAGTACTTAACTTATAAAATCATTAACATAAAAATGAACAAAACTATGTAAATATTTTATTTTTTATATGTAAATATTTTGATTGCACGGTTAGAATGGCTGCCGTGCAACGTGTAGCGGGCTTCGAATCCCGCATAGAAAAGCTTTTTGTGTGATCCACAAAATTAGTTGTTTCGGGTCTGGGTGTGATGTGTATATAAAATGGATATACGTTGCGCTTTATTAGATTAATGAGGTATAGTTTTTTCATATTGTGTAGGAAAACAGCACGTGGAAACCTGAACTTTAAATTATAAGTCTGAAATTTCTAATCCACATTGAGTAAGCGAGGTAATACGATCAAACCGTGTGAGAAGAGGCTGTGCCCATTATTAGCCAATTATAGGCGGATGATGATGACGATAAGGCACACCAAACACGATACATATTCTTAAAAGTTTTTGCCCTTTTACTTGATAGATACCATCGCCCATTAACGAAATGGGTAAGATCGTATTTCATCACATTTAATATCACCCTCAATTACATATCTAATTCAAGTCTAATCAGCATCCATTCATCTTAGTCGATACAATCTTGTCTTATTATTGATCCTGTTGGCACCCGCTGCACTTTACTATACACATTAATCATGCTTTGATATGTCACAGTGTGCTTCATAAATCTTGTGAATTGAAGGATCATTGATGATTTAAGGAAAAGTCATCTAGGCTTTTTACTAAATAATCTCTAATAGACTTTGGTTTAGTTATGATGCTTGAGATAATCTCAAAAAAAAGAGGTGGTTAAAGAGAATATTTTTTTTACTACGAAGAAAATATTTGAAAATAGAATTTTTTAATTTGTTCAAAGAGAGTAGTTCTTTTTTTGAAATAAAAACAAAAGATTCAAAAATGGAACTCTTAATATTATGTTATTGGTGGAGAAATAAATGAATGTAAACAAAAAGATCTTTTGAATCTTCTGTTTCGATTTTTGATGTTAGAAAAATTGGTCGATCGAATACTTGAGTCACTAAAACTCTCTATTACAGCAGTAGCTCACGTTGACAGATTTTTCTTTGTGGTAACAAATTTGTCCGTTTATAGGAAAATTGATTTTTTGTAGCAAGAATTTTTTTACTTTTAATATTTTTTTAATGACTTTTGTTGCTATTGTTCCACAAAGTAAATCAAAAAAGCTTAATATCTATCTGTTTGCCAACGACCTAACCTTAAAATTAAAAATGTGAAAAAAATCAATATTCTCATAAAGTGACAGCGAAACGTTTAAATATTTCGGTATAATTTTGCAGTTGATAGGCAGGTTGGAAATTGTGATGAACAGAATCAGAATATTAATTTGTTTTGCAGATTGCAGATGCAAATTGCAGAAACACTGTTAGGCGATCGAGGATCAATTTTATCAAGTTTTTAGGGAAAATAATATTCTTCCATATCGAAACTGAAATATAATCATTAAAAGGTATAAATCAAATAAGCAATTGATTCTGACATTTTAAATCGTTCTATATCATAAATAAAGCTTAAATTTAAACAACAAGGATACATATTAAAAATAATTATTTATGAGACTTGTTATTGTTTTAAAACTGAAAGAAGTTGATATGATATTAATTGTTAATTTGAATTAATTTCCTTTACACGCATCTTGCATCCGTACTTTAAAAGGTTACGACATTTCTTTGGCAAGACAATGAAAGCGTTCTTATTGTATGTCAATTTACTCAACACCAAACCCCAACCGAACGCTGGCGTTCGCGCACATATGTTTTATTCTTCTATTGTGTCTCGAATTATCACCATTGAAAGGTTAAGGATGATACAGCCTGGGTTGCCAACCCATTTTATTGGGCCAACTTTTAGGAAAGAAAGACTTTTTAAGAGTTGGTCTGCCAGCAGAAATCTGATGAGGCCAATTCCTCTGCTAGTTGGCCACTAGTTGTCCTGTCCTATTTTATATCAAGTGCAAGCCCAATCATTAATCGCCGCCTCCAACCTGGAACAGGAGAAGGAACGAGGTGGCTTTTAGTTATAGAGAGTGTTCCATTGTCCATCTACGACGGGAATCAACTGGTGACAAAAATAATAATAGTTTTTTGAGGAATCTAAACAAGTCCTCAAAAAAAAACTCTTAAACTAAACAGGTTTGAGCATCTGGGTTCATTAAAATCAGTTCAGTATTTAAATGGTTCTTAGTTGAAAGCTTGAATGAATAACCGAAGGGCACAATTAAAAAAGGTCTATAAACTAAGAACCTACCATTACGCAACGCTTAAACCTTATTGACGCTGATAGCAGAATTATAATAAAAAAATTGCAAAGTTAAGATTTAATCAAGAGCGCGTATTAGAAAGGAAAATCACAAAATAATCAGTGTGTAGTTAAAATAAAAATGAGTCGTTATCCCGCCTTCTTATAGCCGCCATTGTTAATTGACTTAATCACCGCGTTAGGTACTTAAAAGTAAATTGATAAATATTCATGAATTCGTCTGCTGTGTGTAATAAAAGTAAGTTTCGTTGTTATTTGCCTATCATAAATAGTTCTAACGAAATCATGTATTACATTCTAAGTGTGGGAGAGCTATGCTTCGGCACGAATGGGTCGGCTCGTCCGGAGTGATATCACGGCTGCACAGAAAACTGGCGTGAAATAACCACAACGTTGTGTTTCGCCGTATGAGTAAGGTTACCGGAGGCCCAATCCTTCCCCACCTTCAATCCCTCCCCAATCCTTAAATCTCCAAATCCGTCCCAAAAGGTTGCCAACGCACTCGTTATTCCTGCGTTGCGGGTGTCCATGGGCGGCGCTGATGGCTTATCATCAGGTAATCCGTGTGCTCGTTTGCCGACCTATTACATAAAACAACACATATTTAGTTAAAAATCTTAAACTGGAGTATAAACGTATAGATTTACAGACAAATTTTATTATTTGTTTTGCGTTCAAAATGAATTATTAGACTTTTTGACTTTGGAATATATGATGCTGTTTCAACTCGTATTAATATAGACCCGATAAAGTTATGTGACGGATATTTCCTATCAATAATGTTCTAAATTGTTCAAATATTGTAACCAAGCCCTTAACCAAGCACAAAGACTGTTTCACTAGCAGCACTGATCAAAATTTTTTGACGATATTCAAATCGAATCTAAAAAAGCCGCTTCTATAAGCAAAGCAACCAATCATTCAAATCTACGTCTACTGCCACATACATTCCTCTTTCGTTACAATAAGATATAATTAATAGGCAAAATATCGATTAGGCGTCCGTATTCGAATCAAATTATTACATAAACACCAAATCATAACCCTATTTCTTTATCATTATATGTTATGTAAGGTATTACAGAGTAATAATTACATTAGCTAATACTAATCATGTATAGTCATTTATTATTACAGTAACTAGAACCTATTGGAATATAACTAGGTATGAAATTTCGTAATATTAAAATAAAGTGCTAAGATTTTTGTAATATGTCATGGTGGCCCGGAGGTTAAAGCGCCCGCTTCTCATTCATGATGCATGAGGGTGTGGGTTCGTGAGTACCAATGTAACTTTTCCGAGTTATATGCACTTTCTATGATTATTTAGACACCACTGACATACGGTGAAGGCAAACATCGTGAGGAAACCTGGACTTATAATTTCTAATTATAAGTTTGAA